TGTAGTGTGTGTGTGTAGTGTGTGTGTAGTGTGTGTAGTGTGTGTGTAGTGTGTGTGTGTAGTGTGTGTAGTGTGTTGGAAAAATAGGAAAAATATTGGAAGAAGTCACCCCCTGTGAGTGGCTGGCTGAGTTGCCATCTGTTGAGGAAGTACTGAAGGCGATCCGAAGTCTTACACCAGGAAAGGCACCGGGCAGAGATGATCTCCCAAGCGAAATGCTGAGGGAGGGTGGCGTTTGTGCACAGACTGCCCTATATGACATCATAACAACAATCTGGACCACTGGACGGGTTCCGCAGACTGTAACAACTACAGGGGCATTTCACTGCTCAGTGTGCCGGGAAAGGACCTGGCAAGGATTATTCAACATCGCCTTGATAGGCACGCTGAGGAGAGGCTTGCGGAGCCCCAATGCGGTTTCAGGAAAGGGCGGTCCTGCACAGATGCTGTTTTTTCTGTCCGTCCGCTACAGCAGATATGTAGGGAATTTCAACAAGACCTACATCTCTGCTTTATTGACCTGGTCAAGGCCTATCATAACATCAGTATGCCTGGGCTCTGGGTTGTTTTTCGTGCTTTCGGAGTCCCTGACCTTCTGCTCACGATCATTAAGGACCTTCATGATGGTGAGCGGGCCCGGGTAAAACTACGTGGCCGGGAGTCGGAGCCATTCCCTGTACACCTTGGGGTGTGACAGGGATGTCCTCTGGCTCCCACATTATTTAACATCCATTTCGACCACGTAGTTCGTGAAGCCTTTGATGGCTGTACTGGAGGAATTTACATCTGATACAGATATAATGGGAGGCTGATCGATGCCCGGGTGCGGTCAAGGGATGGCTCCCTATTGGTCAACCACGTTAAGTATGCCGATGATTTAGTAATTTCTGCTCACTCAGAGGAGGAGTTGGAGACGCTGCTGCTGAGACTGGAGCGTGCCACTAAGAGGTGGGGACTTACCATCAGCCCCACCAAAACTAAGCACCTGCCTGGGTATTTTGTACCATCGGACACTCCACTCCCACAACTCCCAATTGGTGATGGGGCAGTTGTGGAGAGAGTGGAGAGTTTCCCATACCTGGGCAGTGTGCTCATGACCGGCTCCGGTTTGACAGCAGAGGTCTCACTCCGAATCAGTCGAGCGGCATTATCTTTTCATCGGTTGCGTAACGCTGTGTGGAAGCTACCTGGTCTGTCCCTCCGCACGAAGCTTCAGGTCTTCTCGGCCACGGCCATTCCCTCCCTTCTCTACGCTTGCGCCCCCGTAATGGAACATCGTCGCCGGTTAGAAACATTTAGGATGACCTGCCTACGATCCATCCGGGATTTAACCAGGCTGCATTGTGTTAGGAGCTCACAAATCCTTGAAAGATGTGGACAAAGTCCCATCGGTGAGCTCCTCCGCCAGGCAAGGCTGCGTTGCCTGAGTCATGTAGCCCGCATGCCTAAACATCTTTTGTTCGGCCTGATCGAGGGGGCTAAACTGCCCGGCATGGGCTAGAGAAGACATGAAATGATGTGGTACAGGAGGACGTGGAGCTGAGTGGACTTGCCGATGACTGGTACCAACGGTGTCAAGATCGGCCTCTGTGGAGGAGGCTCGTGAAGGACGCTACTGGGCAGTTGGAGGCAGTCGCCCTCCAACAACAACGGAGGGCGGAAGAGCGACGCTCACAACAACGAGCGGAGCGCCGGGTGGCTAAAGCACAGCAAGTTGCCACAGTAGGGGGCACAGGTGGTGCATCAGCCAGTCGTCTCAGTCAGTTGACCTGTGCCATCTGGGTCTGCCCCGTGACCTCCTCCCAGCGGGCGTTCGACACTTTACGTGGCCTCAAGGTGCACATAGCCTGGCACAAGCGTTGTGGTGACGTCACCGCCACTTACTGGCGAATGGCGGTTGTTGTTGTTCAGTCTATGTATGTATGTGTGAGTCGATATGTGTGTGTGTAACTCTATGTGTGTGTGTCAGTCGATTTGTGTGTGTAACTACATGTGTATGTCTGCCTTTTTCGCCCGGGCAACGCCGGGTACTCACCACTCGTGTAAATATAAATGTTGTGTCATTAAGTGCGCCACCACCCGACACAGCCAATCAGTGGGGGGTTTGTCACGTAAACAACACGTGGCCAATTAGTTACAATTATAGTGTATAGAGTAGTGTATAGTGTAGTGTATAGAGTAGTGTGTAGTGTATAGTGTAGTGTATAGTAGTGTATAGTGTAGTGTATAGTGTAGTGTATAGTGTAGTGTATAGTAGTGTATAGTGTAGTGTGTAGTAGTGTATAGTGTAGTGTGTAGTGTATAGTGTGTAGTGTAGTGTATCGTGTAGTGTATAGTGTAGTGTGTAGTGTATAGTGGAGTGTATAGTAGTGTATATCTTAGTGTATAGTAGTGTATAGTGTAGTGTATAGAGTAGTGTATAGTGTAGTGTATAGTGTAGTGTATAGTGTAGGGTATAGTAGTGTATAGTGTAGTGTATAGTGTAGTGTGTAGTGTATAGTAGTGAATATTGTAGTGTGTAGTGTATAGTGTAGTGTATAGTGTAGTGTATAGTGTAGTGTATAGTGTAGTGTATAGTAGTGTATAGTAGTGTATAGTGTAGTGTATAGTAGTGTAGTGTATAGTGTAGTATGTTGTGTATAGTGTAGTGTATAGTGTAGTGTATAGTAGTGTATAGTGTAGTGTATAGTGTGTAGTGTAGTGCATAGTGTAGTGTATAGTAGTATAGTGTAGTGTACAGTGTAGTGTATAGTAGTGTAGTGGTGTATAGTGTATAGTAGTGTATAGTGTAGTGTATAGTAGTGTATAGTGTATTGTGTAGTGTATAGTGTATAGTAGTGAATAGTGTAGTGTGTAGTGTATAGTGTATAGAGTAGTGTACAGTGTAGTGTATAGTATGTAGTGTAGTGTATAGTGTAGTGTATCGTGTAGTGTATAGTAGTGTATAGTGTGTAGTGTAGTGTATAGTGTAGTATATTAGTACGACGTTTCGCCAGTAATTACACGTAGCATCATCAGGCGACGATGTCACCGTCAGCTCTTCCCGTCACATGCCACTCGTGGTTCATCCGCTGCGTGTGACGCCTCGTCTGCGTCACTTTATTGCTTCATTCGCGTAAACTATGGGGCCGTCCATAAATGACGTCACGCACCTGGGGGGGGGGGGTCAGACATTTGTGACGATGTGTGACGAGGGGGGGGGGGTTGAGAAATGTGACGTCACATCAAAATGCGCAAACTTTAAATAAATATATACACAACACGTTCTACTTAATTAAATAGACGTTTTATTAAAAGTTTTCTCCTACAACATCAGAGTGCAGCGCCACATTAAATACGCACTACAATGACAATAGTTTAAAGCGATTTGAAGCATGTTTCATTTGGGGGGGGGGGTCAAAAATCGTCCAAAATCGCGTGACGTCATTTATGGACGGCCCCCAAACACAAAACGTGAACATTACCAGTGGTAGTACTACTGTTGAACAGTACCAGCAGTACTGATGTAGGGGTGTTACGGGAGGGAAACAGACGGATACACAGGGGTGTCCACATCCACGTCTGCAAACGGTTACCACCCTGGGGGGCTGTGGGGGGATGCTGTGATCCCACACAGCCCCACCCCTCGGTGGCAAGTTGGTATAAAAGGTGGGGAGCGAGAGGGCTCGTGGTTCAGTGTTGGGAAGCTAAGGAGCGACGAGCCAGTGAAGACTGAAGACCGGCAGATAGGCCCTGGAACTCCTCTGACTCTTCTAGATTTGAAGCTTTCGTGACTGCAAGGATTCATACTCTTAGTTCTTTCGGTAAAGTCACGTGGGTAAAAAATGAAATTAAAATTAATACAAATTATTATTTTATTTTTATAAATTTTAATTTCATTTTTTACCTACGTGACTTTACCGAAAGAACTAAGAGTATATACTCATCTGACTCGCCGTCCTTCTCAGGACCGGGCAGAGCAAGCCAGTGGCGCGGCCCCAGAGCCTCAGACGATGTTCTTCTAGGAGCCGGGTTTGTCTGGCGGGGTGTCGTGACCTGTGCCTGACCAGGGCCCGGTCAGATAGCCTCCCCTAGCGCCCTTAGCGGCGGACCTGGGAGCAGTTAGGCAGATAGCCTAGGGGTGTATCCCAGTCCAGTGCGGGTGAAGGGGCCGTTACCCCTTCCATTGTTACCCTGTGAAGTTATAATAAATAGTGTGCCTCGACTACACCGTCTGCGTCGCTTGTGAACCCAATACATTATTACTTGTGAACGGTAGTAGTGGTATCGTTATCGCTATCAGTAGGTAGGCACTCCTGGACTGGTTACACGCGCTCCTGTGAAGACCCATTGGGAGTGTAGGGGGTTGATGATTATTCATTGACAGCGTCTGAACACTCAACGGGGAATTTACAATTTGGAATCCGTGTGTTCGGGATGTCCAGTTGACAGTCTTCGCCGACGATAGATATTCTCGCATTTGCTGTTTTGTTTCGCGATTACAAAATCAGCGGAGTGGATGTGATATTGGTAGGAACCTCCTGGTTACACCAGCCCACAGGGGATTATTGTGTGCGTCTGTCGTGCATCCAAAAATGGGAGGGGTGGGGCTGGGTGGAGAGGGGAGGGTGGGGAGGGGTGGGGCTGGGTGGGGAGGGGCTGGTCACCCCGTGGTGCCCTTATAAAACTCAACGTTTAACCTACTCACGCCGGCTTGTGCCCGCCCTCACAGTCGGGCATATTTGCGGAATACACCACGCCGCCGTTGACCCTGCAGGCCATTGACCTCGCAACCCAACGTTCCTACCAGCTCCCTCCGCAGGACAATGTGTTACTAAACGTTCACATCAAGTCCATTGGCATTGCTATGGCAGAGTGACAGGCGAAGGCGCAGCCCTGCAACTGCTCGCTCGCGACACTGCTGGTGGACGAGGTCTCCGCTGGAGAGGGAGCTCTAGAGAGAGGGTATGTTGGCCTCGTCTTTGACACAATCTCTGCGCTTGCAAAACGCCTGACACGTCGGCACGCGGCAGGCAACGCAGCCGACGATGGGGGCCGCGGAGACCGCTGCCCGACCATCGTCACGGAGCAGCAACGTCACCGCCGCCGCCGCCATCGTCACCGCCATCATCGCCGCCAGCGTCAGCGCCGTCAGTGTGAGCGCGCAGTTCTCTCAACAAGGAAACCTGCGTCTCGTCTGCGTCTCGGCAGAAGAAAATGAAGGTGATGGTGGTGGCGGTGGTGGCGGCGGTGGTGGCGATGGTGGTGGTGGCGATGGTGGTGGTGGCGATGGTGGTGTGGTGGTGGTGGTGGCGGTGGTGGTGGTGGCGATGGTGGTGGTGGTGGCGGTGGTGGCGGCAGTGGTGGTGGTGGCGATGGTGGTGGTGGTGGCGGCAGTGGTGGCGGTGGCGATGGTTACGGGGCTAACGATTCGCTGTGACGGTGTTGATCGACGTCGTGGCAGTGATTGGGGGGGGTTTCTCCACTTGTCGCAGAAGTTTTGCGGTTCAATGGCGGTAGGCCGCCCTGGTTATTCGCCCGGTTGGTATTGCACCCCGTCGTGTTATTTGGTGGCTGTTTGCTTCGCGCGGGGGAGGAGGTGAACGATCTCCACCAGCGCGTCGATTGGCACGGGGGGGGGGGGGGGCGATGTGCGGTGGTTGGCCGACGTGTCAACCGCACCTGCCAGAGGGATCGCGAGGGATTTGCACATCGCAGTGCCGTGCGCCCGAGCCGTCGCCGGGAATCGCCGCGCGGCGCTGTCGGAAGGCGCGGCTTCCTGTGGCCGTCTGGAACGCTGCTTCCCATCCGATGTTAGGAAGCCGCTGGGAGCTATGGCGCTTTTATATCATCGTCATCGTCTAGAGCTCCCTCTCTGGTATAGTGAAGTAGTGGAATGTACAGTCTAGTGTGTAGTGTAGTGTATAGTAGTGTAGTGTATAGTGTAAAGTAGTGTATAGTATTGTAGTATATAGTGTAGTGTATAGTAGTGTAGTGTATAGTAGTGTAGTGTATAGTGGAGTGTGTAGTAGTGTAGTGTATAGTGGAGTGTATAGTAGTGTAGTGTGTAGTGTATAGTAGTGTAGTGTATAGTAGTGTAGTGTGTAGTGTAGTGTGTAGTAGTGTAGTGTATAGTGCAGTGTGTAGTAGTGTAGTGTATAGTGCAGTGTATAGTAGTGTAGTGTATAGTGGAGTGTATAGTAGTGTAGTGTGTAGTTTATAGTAGTGTAGTGTATAGTAGTGTAGTGTATAGTGGAGTGTATAGTAGTGTATAGTGTAGTGTATAGTAGTGTAGTGTATAGTAGTGTAGTGTATAGTAGTGTAGTGTATAGCTGATGTTAATATGGATGATGATGCTGATGTCACCAACAACCACCACACGAACGGGCGCCCGATTCGGGCACCGAACCCGTGGCCCCCCACCCCCCACCCCCCCTGGCTCCGATGCGAACCGACGATTTCTAATTTCGATCTCCCGGCAGGCGCAGCGGCGGCGGCGCTCCCCTCGGCACGGAGCTGCTCCCCGGGCACCGGGACTCCCTCCAAAGTGCACGCGCAAGCCCAGGCGTCGAGGGACAACGCGCGGAGGCAGGAGCAGGCCATCGTGGACCTGCAGAGCACCGTCAGGGAGCTCCTGGAGAAGCTGAGGAAGTGTGAAGAGAGAGGAGGCGGTGGTGGTGGCGGTGGTGGTGGTGGTGGTGGCGGTGGTGCTGGGAGGATGGAAGGCGTGGACACCATGGACCGCAAGGTGAAGGACCTGGTGCGGAGGATGGAGGTGATGGCATCAGCAGCATCATCACCAATATTAACATCAGCAGCAGCATCATCATCATCATTAATATTAATATCAGTAGCATCATTTGATTATCATCAGCAGCAGCATCATCATATGAGCATCATCAATATAATCATCAGCAGCAGCATCACCATATAAGCATCATAAATCAATATCATCAACAGTATCATCATATCAGCATAATCAATTTGATCAGACTGTGTAACACAATGTTTGTTCCTGGGTAGTAAGTGTTATTTCGTTATTGCTTATGCCTAAAAAGTACAGAAAGTGGCTATTGTTATTCCTCACAAACTTTTCTTTTGTGACCAGAACAGTGATATTTTGAAATATACCTATTTTTCATGCATGAGAAAACGGGCCAATTTGTGTCTTTTCGTTCACATAAAGCCAGAAACAACCAATATGAATACAAATTTAAATGTGTAGTGGGTTCACAAGTGACAGAGACGGTGAATTCGAGGCAGCACTATTTATTATAACTCAACAGGACAACACTGAGAAGGGGGGTAACGGCCCCTTCACCCGTACAACACTGGGATACACCCCTAGGCTCTCTGCCTAGATATATATGCTCCCGGGTCCTCCGCTAAGGGCGCTAGGGGAGGCTACCTGACCCGGCCCAGCCAAGGCTCAGGTGACGACCACCAGCCACACAGACCCAGTCCTTAGAAGGACATCGGCTCTGAGGCTCTGGGGTCACACCGCCGGCTTGCTCTGCCCGACCCTGAGAAGGACTGCGGGTCAGAGGAGTCCCAGGGTCTATCTAGCCGGCCTTCAGTCTTCAACTGGGTCTTCGGACTTCGGCTCGCGAACACTGCCCCTATGTCTCTGGCTCCCCGTCTTTTATACCAACTCCCCACCGAGGGGCGGGGCTCCGAGGGATCACAGCAGACCCCGCAGCCCCCACCTGTTGGGAGGGGCGTGGGGGATACAAAGCCCACAGCCCCCTTTGGGTAAGCCCAGGGCGCTAGCTGTTACCGACGTGTGTTTGTCCCGTAACACGCGAACGGCTGTAACAGACGTGTGTCTGTGCCATAACACCACTACACATGTGTAGGACTCGTGCTCTCGTTGTCTTTCTCGTCTCATGTATTCACGCATAAAGTTCACACCTCCTCCTCATCATCGCTCCGTGTCTCTCCGTTCGCTCCGATGCACAAGCCGCCATTAACAACACTCCATGTCTCCCCGTTCCTACCGTACACTGTGTTCTCTCTATCCACTGCTACCGTACACTGTGTTCTCTCTATCCACTGCTACCGTACACTGTGTTCTCTCTATCCACTGCTACCGTACACTGTGTTCTCTCTATCCACTGCTACCGTACACTGTGTTCTCTCTATCCACTGCTACCGTACACTGTGTTCTCTCTATCCCCTGCTACCGTACACTGTGTTCTCTCTATCCACTGCTACCGTACACTGTGTTCTCTCTATCCACTGCTACCGTACACTGTGTTCTCTCTATCCACTGCTACCGTACACTGTGTTCTCTCTATCCCCTGCTACCGTACACTGTGTTCTCTCTATCCACTGCTACCGTACACTGTGTTCTCTCTATCCACTGTTACCGTACACTGTGTTCTCTCTATCCTTATCGTATCTATCCCCGCTCACTGCTGCTCCGTCTCTCTCCCGGGCACCAACCACTCCAGCTCCAATCCCAACCAAGACTCCCGTCTCTCCATTACGCTGTGCCCTTTATCCCCGCACCAATCAGTCCCAATCAATGATCTCATCCCCCGCTTTGCTACTCGCCCCCAGGCCCCCAGCCTCACGTGACCATGTTATTGCCGCCAGGCCGGCGCCTGTCATTAGCCACTCACCCTCCTGACCAATCACCGGCCTACGTCCTCAGTCACCCCTAACACCTGTGGCGTCTCTTAACGACCCCCCTTAATGCCACGACAACAACAACCGTGTCCTCAGATGCTCCCACTGTACTCTGCTCGCTTGCCTAGCAACAGAACGCGTGGCGCGTGATATTTCAAGTCCTACACAAGTATTGATACTAAAGTAATGAAAAAAATTTCAACGAAGGATTTAGAAGTGAGTAGTTTGTCGAGATTGGGCCTTCCCACAGAGAACTCGGTCCGCTGTGGCCAGTCCTGCCTGTGGGAGTGAACCTTGAATCTTTGTATGGCCAGCCCCAGCGCGTGTGAATCGTGCCGTGTGGGGTGTGTGTGTAGTGTGTGTGTGTGGTGTGTGTGGTGTGTGTAGTGTGTGTGGTGTGTGTGTGTAGTGTGTGTGGTGTGTGTGGTGTGTATAGTGTGTGTGGTGTGTGTGTGTGGTGTGTGTGGTGGGTGTGCGTGTGGTGTGTGTGTGGTGGGTGTGCGTGTGGTGTATGTGTGTAGTGTGTGTGTGTGTAGTGTGTGGTGTGTGTGTAGTGTGTGTGGTGTGTGTGTGGTGTGTGTGCCCACGACTGAGAATCAGCCATCGTGACCTCGCCAATCCGCTCTCTCTCCCACAGAATGTTGGCACGTCCGACACGAGCTCCCGCTCATCGCCATACGCAGAAGACAACGACGACGACGACGATGACGACGATGGCGGTGATGGCGGGCGTGATGGCGGCAATGGCGGCGACGACGACGACGACGCCGTGACGGACACTGCACTTGGCGGAAATTCCTTGGGGAAATTTTCGGACGAAAGTAAGAGTCGGCAACTACCACCCGGCAACACCGGCGATGGCGGTGGCGATGGTGATGATGGTGGTGATGATGATGATGGTGGCGATGGCGGTGGTCGTCGTCGTCGTTCTGACGCGTTCCTTGTGAGTCTGTGCGCACTGGCAAATCTCGCGCTGGCGACATAGCTCAGACTGGTGACCCCCCCCCCCCCCCCCACTGGTGACCCCCACCCCCACTGGTGACCTCGCCCCCCCAATGGTGACCTCGCCCCCCCCCTCACGTGACCTCGCCCTCCCCCCCCCCACGTGGCCTCGCCCCCCCCCCCCACTAGTGACCTTCCCCCCCCACTGGTGACGTCACCCCCCCCACTGGTGACGTCACCCCCCCAATGGTGACGTCACCCCCCCCCCAATGGTGACGTCACCCCCCCCCAATGGTGACCTCGTCCCCCTCCCCCACTGGTGACCCCCCCCCCCCACTGGTCACCCCCCCCCCCCAATGGTGACCTCGTTCCCCTCCCCCACTGGTGACCCCTCCCCACTGGTGACCTCTGTACATGCGGCCAGCTGCTCTTCACGATCCCCGTGCTACTTTGTGTGAATCCTTCACGCGTCTCTGTGGAGCCCCCCCCCCTCCCCCCGCGTGTTTCTGTTGCTTTCTAACGATTCATTCCGCGACGGTAACGCTGCTGCTGCTGCTGTTGGCAGTGGTGACGAAACGTTGACAACAACACACGCTGGACACGTGCGTCAGTAACAGCGCCCCCCCTCTCTCTCTGTGTGTGTGGGCTTGGCATCGAAACGGGCCGTCCATAAATGACGTCACGCACCTGGGGGGGGTCAGACATTTGTGACGATGTGTGACGATGGGGGGGGGGGGGTTTGAGAAATGTGACGTCACATCAAAATGCGCAACTTTAAATAAATATAGACAACACGTTCTACTTAAATTTCGATTTAAAGCTTTCGTGACTGCAGGGAATCATCTTCTTGGTTCTTTCGGTAAAGTCACGTAGAATGGAAATAATAAAATAATAAAAATAAAACATAATAAAATACAATTCTCACGACGTTTCGGCCACAACGCAAGCAGCCGTCCTCAGGTGAAGAACAGGTCTGTCGGAAAGACAACGTCTGAATGAGCACCACCAGGCTTGGCAGCGTATATTTAAGCTGGGTTGGAGGGGGAAGGGCGCCTTGACAAAGGAATTTGTAATTTTTTTTATAAAGTTTTAGTTTTTATTATTTTATTATTTCCCTTCTACGTGACTTTATCGAAAGAACCAAGAAGACGTTGTACTTAATTAAATATACTTTTTAATAAATGTTTTCTCTTGCAACATCAGAGTGCAGCGCCACATTAAACACGCACTACAATGACAATAGTTTAAAGAGATTTGAAGCATGTTTTATTTTTGGGGGGGGGGGGCAGAGCTTTGTGACGTCATATTCGAGGAGGGGGGGGGGTCTGACTTTTTGTGACGCCGTGTGACGATGGGGGGGGGGGGGGGTCAAAAATCGTCCAAAATCGCGTGACGTCATTTATGGACGGCCCCCAACTCGCCGTCGGTGGATCTCCCCCGAGGTCCTCTGCCCGGTCTGCCTTGCGCGGGTCCCGTTTGCCGAACGCTTCGCGACGAGTTTGCGAACGAGGCCCTGTGGTTAAATTTCGATTCAATGCTTTCGTGACTGCAGGGATTCATCTTCTTGGTTCTTTCGGTAAAGTCACGTAGAAGGGAAATAATAAAATGATAAAAATAAAACATAATAAAATACAATTCTCACGACGTTTCGGCCACAACGCAAGCAGCCGTCCTCAGGTGAAGACCCCGACAGACCTGGTCTTCACCTGAGAACGGCTGCTTGCGTTGTGGCCGAAACGTCGTGAGAATTATTTTATTATGTTTTATTTTTATTATTTTATTATGTTTTATTTTTATTATTTTATTATGTTTTATTTTTATTATCTTATTATGTTTTATTTTTATTATTTTATTATTTCCATTCTATGTGACTTTACCGAAAGAACCAAGAAGATGAATCCCTGTGGCTCGCGGTCTCGATGCGGCCTGTGACGTTCAACTGCGACCTCCCCTAGTCCCCTCTGTCGTCGGCTTCCTTCCGAGTAGAATTATCTGGGCTCAAATAATCTAGGATTGAAGCTTTCGTGACTACATGGGCCTGCAGAAACAACACTAAATATGGATTTGTTATTTTCTCCAATGATTCCAGAGTTATGGGCTACCCTTTATATAATATAATATACACTACTATACACTACACTATACACTACACTGTACACTACACTATACACTACATTATACACTACACTATACACGATACACTACACTATACACTATACACTACACTATACACTACACTATACACTACTATACACTACACTATACACTACACTATAGACTACTATACACTACACTATAAACTACTATACACTACTATACACTACACTATACACTACACTATACACTACACTATACACTACTGTAATGGGTTCCGGAGACACTTGTAGAGGTAACTTCTTTATTACAATACAACACTCCAACAGTCCAACTCTCCAACAGTCCAACTCTCCAACAGTCCTGATACTCTGTTACAGCCTAGGTACACAGCCTAGCTACACAGCCTAGATACACTACTCTGGCTACGCTCCGGAACTCGCCCTCACAAGGTCGTAGAGTCGGGAGTTCCAGAGTCCTAGCGCTGGCTCTCACAGCATCCCAGGGTCTTCAGATGGCTGGTCGTGGGTCTTGGGTCTTGAGTTACAACTGGGCCCTGATCGTCCAGGGAGCTCTCCTTTTATGCCTGGTCCAACGAGGGGTGGGGCCGTGTGTGCCACCAGACATCCCACAGAGCACACACAGCCCCCCCCCCCCCCCCCCCGTTGGCGGCGCCCAGGGGATTAAGCGCCTGGGAACTCAACGCCTGGCGCCCAGAGGCTTAATAGTCTGGACCCCCTGGGAACCCAGCGCCTGGCGCCCAGAGGCTTAAGCGTCTGGACTCGCCTGGGATCCCAGAGCCCCCAGCAGCCCCTCCCTTCTTATGTCACTACATTACCCCCCTCTACGTAGCCTCCAGCCGTCCCGGCTGTCAATAATTAGAAAGTTTCAATTAACGAAAGGGAGAGAGAGAAAAAAAAACACGCGAGCCTCAACAGGAAAAGAAAAGAGAACAAGAAAGCAACCATAAATACCATAACCAACCTGTACAACTCTACACTATATACAAGCATCAATCAACAAAAAGGTGAAGCAATGACACGTGAACAAACGACCCGCGGCACACCTAGCCCTCCTCGGGATCCGCATAGAAAACGGGGAATTAACAACAACAAATATACAGATTCCGACGCGTTGGATGCACAACCAACACCGGTAATCGAACCGAAATCACACAATCACCGCATGGATGGCAGGGATCCACACCACCCTGCCACCCTCCCATCCGTCAGGTGGTGAGAAGGCGAAGACCAACATGTCGAGCATCCCTCTACACACACTAATCCGGACGTCTGTCTACGTCCCGGGTCGAGAAGTCGTACTCCAGGTCCGACCCATGTACTGGGCAAAGAAGTCGCACTTCAGGGCTGCTCCAGTATCTACATTTTAAAAATATATATATATATAAAATTTACATGACACAAACAAAATAAATCCGCCTGCTCCTGTCCATAAATGGTGGCCGCACGCGCGAACCGCGTCTCCAAGGCATCCGTGCTTGCGTCCCAGCAGCCCTCAATGAGAACCACCACCGACATTACATGTCAACCATTAGCACCCCCCGCCTTTCCAACGTGGCGTCTCCATCCTAAAACCGCGCACGTCGGCCATATCGGGGGGGACTTCAACCCAGTCTCTCTCCAAGACTCGCATCGCAGCATATAGCTGTACCGACCGATCTGAGACCCAATCTCTCTCCAAGACTCGCATCGCAGCATATAGCTGTACCGACCGATCTGAGACCCAATCTCTCTCCAAGACTCGCATCGCAGCATATAGCTGTACCGACCGATCTGAGACCCAACCTCTCTCCAAGACTCGCATCGCAGCGTATAGCTGTACCGACCGAGCTGAGACCCAATCTCTCTCCAAGACTCGCATCGCAGCATATAGCTGTACCGACCGATCTGAGACGACCCATTGTTCACGCCCTGCACAACATGCACCCTAACAACTGAGGGATACAGTCCCAACGTAACGGGACAACTACACCTGAACACCACGAATCTCCAGCCCACTGTTTCAACGCGCCTCGGAGTGTTTCAATCTCCGGGCCGTCAGGGCGAGCCTACTGCTCCAGACGTGCCACGGAGGGTCTCAACCTCCGGGCCGTCAGGTCAAGCCGTCAGCTATTCCATGATGGGACCACACTCTCCGAGCCCTGTGAGCGCACAGCCCACCAGGCTAGACATGCCACGGAGTGTTTCAATCTCCGGGCTGTCGGGTCAAGCCGTCAGCCATAGCATGACGGGACCACAACTCTCGTGTTAGACACGCAACACCCGCTGGGCCATCCTGGTCAGGATCTGCACCCCAAGATATTTGAGAGCCAGCATGACAATTCCAAATCCTTGGCAGCATGTCACCATCTCAAGATAAATGCCCCATACAGTATATACATCGTTAACAATGACAGCACAAGCTATACATTAACAATCACGAACAAAGCTTCGCACATACATTGACAACACTCACGAGCGAAGCTCCACACAGTTTACCCAACAACAGTCACGACTCCCCGACGACAACGAAGAAAATATCAACAAAAAAGTCATTAATCCGGAGCGCGTAAAATGTACGAAGTGTCAGGGGCCTGGTCTCCCGACCTCCAACCTTTGGCCAGAGCAGCAAAGGCGGCGACCAGCGTGTCGGTCGATGTGCCGGCCCCGGCGCTGGTTACAGTAAGAATGGCGCCCTCACTGTCCGGTCGCAGCGCTGATGACGCGGTATGCTAGGTTGCAAACAGCTGTCACCTGGCGGTGAGGGACGCAGCGCTGATGACGCG